GTAAGTAGGCCAGAGCTATTCATAGTGTGGGGCTCTGCTCTGCTAGGGGGCGCCAGAGCTCTGGAAACAGTAACTACAAACATTTAGCCACCTTCAGCTTGACTATGGCTGTCTGTGGATCAGGAGTTCCCCAACCTCTCCAAAATACTCCTCCTGATCACATTCTACCTTTATGAATGCAGTAATAGGATTTTTCTTTTCCTCAGTATTACATCTGCCATAGAAGGTAATGTTTTTGAAGCATTAGAGTGTTTATTTCTTTTCTTTTTGGGTTATTTGCATTATTATGGACAAAAGATATGGACAAAATCCACCATAGCTCTGCTTTTGTCTGTTTAGAAACATTCAGTTTTGTTGTAATCTAGAGTAATATCAAAATTTGGGATTTTTTATTTTTTAAGGATTCCTTAACCCTTTATAGGGCAACTTGGCGCTTTTGATCCCTTGCATACCCCTTACTAATGGAGTCCCCGTCCCTCAATGAGTTCTAGAAGCACAAGATCTATATCCAGCTATTCAGCAAAGATAATGCTACATGGCTGTACATCTTATTTTGGTATTTGACCAAATAGATGAGCCCTTGAATGATATGTTACCTAATGTAATTTAAGTTGGAAAAAAAATTGTTGAGAATAAAAGCTAATTAAAAAGCTAATTAAAAACTTATCAAGTAAAATTAAAAAGCTAATAAGCCTAGTTAACAATCATGTTTAAGTTTATAAACTTAAAAATGTCAGTGCCAGTATCAGCATTAATGCCTCTAAGGTTATGTTGGTGTTTCTTGTTATTACATTGACATAAATTTTTGCTATCAAAATATCCATATTTTGGTAATAAGGTCTTGTCCTGGATTCCAATAACACTGTTGGCTTGATATTTTGATTTTCAAAGTATTTCACTGAGCGCCCTATAAAGAGTTAACCTTGTGAGATGTGAAGGTATAATGAGACAGAGGTCTTATCTCTCAGTTCTTTCTAGCTTTGTTCTGTTTTTTTTCTCTGTCCAGGTACCCACTTCCAGCGTCTCATCCCAGACGAGGGACCAGCAGCAGTCAGTCCACAGGAAGTAAAAAGGGTCATTTTCTGCACGGGCAAAATCTTCTATGAGCTCATCCGGGAACGCAAGACCAGAGGCATGGATGATGCTGTTGCTATTATCCGTATTGAACAGGTGATTGATTCCACCATGACTTAAACAAACTGACCACGTCTCCAGGCTCGGATTAATACCACAGCATGAATATAAAACGGACTCTTAGACAAGCATCAGTTTCAGTTTGTGTTTTGTCCAACGTTGCAGCTGTCCCCGTTCCCCTTTGACTTGGTGAAAGCAGAGACTGATCGCTACATGAATGCTGATCTGGTTTGGTGTCAGGAGGAGCATAAGAACCAGGGTTACTATGACTACGTCAAACCCCGCCTTCGTACTACACTGCGTCGTACCCGCCCCATCTGGTAGGTTTTGCAGACCTTTTTGTTTATAATGGCAAATTGATCAAACTGTACACAATCAGTTTCACATGCTGTTGGCAATTAGAATAGTGTAAATTATTGGCAATTAGCAAGACAAACTCACTAGACTGCCTCTCGGTGCCGATGCTTTCTGGCTGAATTTTTGTCAAATTTGAATGTTGCTGGTGCTTTCCCTGTTGTAGTAGCATGTTACTCTACAACCCAAGTGGCTCAGGTGTTGCAGCTCATCCAGGATGGTACATTAATGCAAGCTGTGGCAAGAGGGTTTGCTGTGTTTGTCAGCGTAGTGACCAGAGGGCGGAGGCGCTACCAGGAGGTAAGCCAGCACACCAGGAGACATGGAGGAGGGTGTAGGCGGGCAACAACCTGGCAGCAGGACAGCTACCTCTGCCTTTGTTCAAGGAAGAACAGGAGGAGCACTGCCAGAGCCCTGCACAAATGGTTAGAATCCAACTCCATGAGGATGGTATGAGGGCCCGCATCCACAGATGGGGGTTTGTTCTCAGCCCAACATCACGAAGGACGCTTGGCATTTGCCAAAGGACACCAAGATTGGCAAATTCACCACTGGCGCCCTGTGCTCTTCACAGATGAAAGCGGGATCCCATGTGAAGACAACATGGAGAGCGATCTGTTGCCTGCAATATCCTTCAGATTGCCAGTTGGTCAGCAATGGTGTGGGTAGGCATTTCTTTGGGTGGCCACACAGCCCTCGATATGCTCCTAGAGGTAGCATGACTGCTATTATGTACCGAGATGAGCCCCTCAGACCCTTTGTGAGACCATATGCTGGTGCGGTTGGCCCTGGGTTCCTCCTAATGCAGGACAATGCTAGACCTCATGTCAGCAGTTCCTGCAAGATGAAGGCATTGAAGCTATGGATTGAACCCGGACCGGAATCCAATAGAGCACATCTGAGACATCATTCTGACTATTTCTTGAAACCAATTTTAGGATTGATTTTCCTTTGAGGAAACTAAATTGATGATATCAGAATATTTGTGATCAAAACTCAAACAGGTTGTTCATGAAAAAGTGGCTCAGTTTTATTCTATTGCAGATCGCTGCTAATTTAAATCCTGGTAATGGCTTCCTAGCTTTCTGAATCAGAAAAGTCAGGGAATGCAGGAATTTACTCCAATCTGGATTAACTCTAACCCTGCATATTGAAATTGTGAAATAGAATAGAAAATTCCTTTACTGTCCTACATAAATGTGGTCCTTAGAAAAATGAATGAGTAACATAAGAGTGAAGAGTATAAAACACTGAACTGTAAAGTGTTTTAACAATATAAAAAACTGTCCAACTGGATAATAAATAACCAATATGCAGCTATGGACATTTTTACAAAAATGGATATTTGAAAATAGCAGCAACATCAGAGATGTGCAAAATGACAGCAGCATCTTATTTAACTGACTAAGATAGAAACTGTAAAAATCAGCATGAATGTAACAATTTATTACACAATTTTTAAAAAATATTAGTCATTAAATTTAATTCTCCATTTTCTTTCTGCATTTTCTCGTTTTTTTAGTTCTGTTTTGGTGGAATGTTTTTATTTTCTTCCCAATTCAATGAACATATTTGAAATGTTTTTAAAGACATTGTAGGTTCACCTCCAGTCTGATCCATAATAGCCTGGGATCCTATAACCTGTTTGACCTCAGAAGACGCCAATGATGACGTCAGTAACTTCAGGATAAGGTTTGACCTTTTGTGCCTGTGTTTATTCTAAGGTACGCCGGCCGTGACCCGGCAGCAGCTCCGGCTACAGGGAACAAGCACACCCACCTCACCGAGCTTCAGCGTTTACTGGACACAGCCTTCGATCTGGAGAAGTTCCCACGGAAACCGCAGCGTCCCGTCTAACACGGATCTGACCTGCCTGCTCGACGTCAGGGTCCATAAAACCGGCATCTCTACCGTTTTAAACGGACAAGACAAAACTGTTGACTCTGTTTCCATAAAGGCTCCTTGTTCAAAGTGAAGGACAAGACAAACAATGCCTTTAACTTGCACTGAATGTGATCACTGTTCAAGACAAGTTGTAATTTGTTTTCATAGCTGATCAAAAAGGGAAATATATTCTTGATTGTTGACTAAAATAGTTGCTGGTGGAGAAATAAGGTGAATAATTTTTAATAACAAACAAAAACTTTGTGGGTAAACATTCAGGCCTCACAAACTAAGAGCTCATGTGGCTCTGTTGGTTTTAACTCATCAACCAGAAAGAATCACAATTCTAATCTAATCTACAGGAATTATAATAAAAACTGGAGAAACTATTTTAGAATTCTTATAGGTGCTTCTTGGACTGAGATCAGTTATTTAAACTAATTTATTTTGAGAATTAGCTAAGATGAACTGGTGTTTGGTATCGAGGTTCCCTCTAAAAGCAGGAGTCTGAACAGCATCAGAGCTAAAAATGTTGCAATGCTGACAGTAGCTCCCATTTTTCTTTGCCTACAAGGACAATGTCGGCTGTTTGGAAAATCCTGTCCATCAATCTGAGGTAATGTTGCTTTAAAGTTCAGCTCTAAAAGCTCCATGTCTGTAGAGCAGCAGCTACACCGTTCACAGCCTACAGCCCCACTGGTGAGAAACAGAACATCTGCTCACTAGAATCCAGGTTTTTACTTTTATATAGTGAATTTTGTTGCTTTTTGCAAATTTTTTTTTTTTTGCAAGCAAGGAACATGTTTTTTCTTTAAATAAAAAGAATAAATGAAATGCAATCAGAAAATCAATCTAAAAAAAAAAAAATCAATAAAATGTTTGCAGAGAATGTATTCCATTTTAAAAATGTTCCTTTTTTTTTATCATATTAAAGATATAAAATATATTAAATGTATTTCTCTTTTTCCAATGGAGTTTTACAGATTGCTTACTCTTCAGTTGTGGAGGCAGGCTTTCTTTGAATGAGGAGTGAAGACACATTTCTATTGGTCTGCATGGACGTTAGAAACATGTTTATTGTGTTAGCGTTGCGCCTGTGTCTAGCTCTTATAGGAAAGTTCTGTGTCTGTGCGTCATTTCAAGATCGTCCCATACAGGAGCTGTGTCAAACTGTGCTTATAACCACATCTGCTTTGCCGTTCGTCATCAAATTAATCAAGAAATCTGGAGCAGCCTCCCAGCAAAAAGGTTTCACCTGTTTGGGACCATTTTGATCTCATATTTGCTTAAATTTACTCATTGTGTCTAATATCTACATAAATTGATTATTGATACGTTTTTATCAGAATTATGTATCTCTGATTTCACTGAGGAGTCCTAGATGACTTACAGAGACACATTTTCTCTTTACCCCAAATAAAACAAAATGTAGTTCTGAAAATAGCATCAATTCTGTATTTTACATCTTTGATGTTAGTATATTGATGTGCATAATTAGCCACAAAAAATGGAAATGTTTTTAATATTCAACTTGATAGTATTACTGCTGCCACCATCTGTATTAGAGGGGGAAAAAATTGCAGGGGTGGCCAATGATTGGCTAAGGGTGGCTATGACCACCCCTGGCCCCCCATCTAGCTACGTCCCTGCGTTTGAGACAATCGAATAACTTGGAAAAAATTACTCTCAAAACTTTTTTAAAGTTTATCCCTAGTGGGCTAACTAAGTTTGGAGAGTTTAATTTCTGGATTTCTTTTTCCCTTCATGTTTTCATTTCCAAAATGTATTTTTTCTTCTTTTTATTCCATTTATAAAACATGTTCTTTGCTTGAATTAATGGAATAAAATCTAACTATTTCCTATGCTCTGTAAACAGAACAGAGAAGAAATGAGAAACCTGTTTACACAAAAAACTAAAAAAAAGACTAAGTATAGAGCTGAAAGGTCCTAAATGTTTTTTTTTTTCAAAAATGGTTGTTTTTTTTATGCTTAAGACTTAAGGTTCAGATTTCTCATTTATGAATAAAGTAAAACTTAATTTATTTTTTTGCTGAAGGAAATTGATTTGGGGATCATGTTATCTTGCTCTATTAAAAAAACAACAACTATGCATTATAGGTGATGTTAAAACATTTTATTTATACTTTTAGCACAGAAAGAAACTGTTATAAATTGAGCAAATAATTTAGCATATTTTTATTTTAAATGTCTTTGTTAGTATCATCAAACCACTGTCTATATCATACCATCAGTATCTAATACTGGCCCATGTGTATAGCTGACTATGAAGTAAAGTACTAACTATGAGTTGAGTCTAGTAATATAAGAAAGAAGTCTAAGAAAAAACACTAAACATCAGTAATGATTCGACACACTGAAAGATCATTGAAAACACATTTAATTAGAAGTTCAACATTTTAAGCAGCATCTGAATTACAGTCAGTTTAGGAGCAAAAGTTTTCACAAGCTTCTGTATTTCTTTTTTTAGTCTAAATTCTCCTGTCATATTAAAACGTTAATCTTTAAAGTCCACTTCTGTCGAAAAAAAAAAATTATTCCTTCAAATTTGAGCTAATTTCCCTCAAAGAATCAGTAAAAACCATTTTTCATCGGGTGCTGCCTGCTTGGAAAAGAATAAAATATTTTCATCACTAATCTTCATGTTTTATTTAGTTGAGCCATTAAAATCAATGCACTCAAATCAAAGCTGTGGTTTAACTCAAAACTTTATGCAAGTTTAGTCTGTAACTTTTCTTACAGTTCATCAAATAACGTCTGGATGAGAGGAAATCATGTTGCACTAAACTCATTGCGGTACAGATGGAACCAAGAAAGAATCCAGATCATTTATCAGGAGGAATCAACATTTGGAGGTTTTTGGAGATGAGATGTTTCAACATTAAGGTTCATCAAGCAGCATCTAAGAAACCAGAGTAAAATTTGATGCCTTGGTTGATATTTTTAGACGGGCTGAACGCGCTGATTCCTGTTTGATCGTCCAAAAAGCTAATCATCATCATAATTGACTCTCATTGTATTTGTTTTATCTCGTTCCTTCAGTTTCAAGCAAATAGAAGAGAATTCCTAAAGTGAACTATTTACCGGTAGTTTTATTTTTCCCAGGTAGTCAAAAAGGCCTTCATGTGAAGTTCCTTGTTTACGTTGAAGACTACAGTAAATTTCCAGATGTTTATACAGCTGGCCTGAAAAGAAAAAGAGAAATGATCATAGTTTATAGAAAGAATTAAGGGGAGTCTCAGCAATAAATTCTTAATTTTATAATCAATCTTATGATTTAAAAACTGTAGAAAATGGAAAACTCTAAAGCAGAGACAGTTCACAAAATGTGGATTATATCAATTTCCATTTAAGATTTACATAAAATAAAACAATTTATATTGTATTATTTCTGAAAAATTTCCAACTTTACAGTTGGGGCATCTAAAAAAATATGTTTTTTGTAAATTCAAATAAGCACTAAGATCAAGGAAAGCTCTTGGTGGAAAATAAGTTTTCACATGAATTACATCAATGGGCACTGCCCCAGATCACCATGAAATATTAAAGTGGTTAAACATCATCTAAAGATCTGGGATTCTCTGGGCAGATCTCATCCACCCTCTAAAGTCTAAGCACCCTGGAGTTTTTTTTCTAACCAACTCTTCCCCCAATGCTCCTGTTCACAACTTGGGGGAAAAAATAATTTCTGTCATGAATTGTCTCACCAACTGTCGCCTTCTGTGATACCAGGGAGTGGTAAATCTGTTGCAACCTCTTTGTCAGATAATCATCTTTGAATGTGAAGAAGACCAAACCTCTTCTGGCCTTTGCTGCGGCCATCAGCTGGATCACAGCTGCAAATGAAAAGACAGCGTCACTGTGACGGATGCAACATTTCCTGCCTGAACTGATTCAGGTCCACTGTCCTAGAAATTTAACAAAATAACCTGCATGAGACACAGCTTTGAAGTTGGAGGTCTAATGTGGCAAAATGTGAAAAGTTCAAAGCATTTTGTTGGGTTTAATAGTGTGAAAAGGCCATAAGTAAAATGGAACAAAAAAAAATCAATATAAACCACTTTTTTGTTAATTTTACCTGCTATGTTGATATTTTGCAGAATTTTGCTGAATCACTGTTCCGAGACTTTTTTAGGATTTATTTCTTCCACCTTTGAACACCTAGACTCTGAAATGTTTGCTTATTCTTGTAAAAATGGCCCATGCTCATTAAAATTGAATGGATATTCCAAAAAAAGAAAATTAAAACTATCCACTGGACTTTGTTTCCAAATTTGAAGAGGTTTCGCTTCCCATCGGGGAAGCTTTTTCACTCAAATGTCATGAATAGTGTTAAGTTTGAGGTTTGATACAGCAGCCCAACAAAACCTTCTTTTTGTTTTGAAAACATGCAAATTGAAACAGACGTTGGCCGGATGGTAAGGAAAACGTATTCAAACTTGGAAACAAAGTCCTTTTGGATTGTTTTTAATTTTCTTATTTTTTAAATGACTATAACTTGGATGACTGAGAACCTTCACCAGCTTATTGGGTGGATAATTTGCCGTTGTTGAGGTTGAGGTTTTTGCCACAAATTCCTCATATGATTTAGGTCTTGATATTGACTGGTCCATCCTTATGAAAATACTGTTAGACATTCCAGCGTAGCTTTAAGTGTTTGTTACCTGCCAGAAGGTCAACCTGTTTAGTCTGTGTTTCTGCCCTGGGTCCACTCCACTCTTCAACTATCACATCAGAAACTTTACACCATAATAAACCCCTGACCTTGAGCTGAATAACTGCAGCATCTCTACATTTATCTGGTGCTGGTCCAATTCAGTTCAATTCAGTTTATTTCTATAGCGCCAATTCACAACACATGTCATCTCAAGGCACTTTACAGTTCATCAGATCATCCAGTCAGATTGATTCAAAGTTTTCTATCTAAGTAAAACCAGTTGATTGCATCGACTCATTGACTCTTCAGCAATCCCTCACACTAAGCATGCTTGTAGCAACAGTGGAGAGGAAAAACTCCCTTTTAACAGGAAGAAA